TTACGTTTGACCCCAATAACTTCATACACACCATTACTACAACACAAACATCAGTACCCAAATGGGTAATGCCACCATTTTTGGACATGTAAGTTNTTTGTCAGTTTACGTGTGACCCCAATAACCTCATACACACCATTACTACAACACAAACATCAGTACCCAAATGGGCAATGCCACCATTTTTAGACATGTAAGGTATTTGTATATTATAAACTGATTCATATTTAGAGTACACCGTAAGTAAATCTTCTTATCACGCATCTTAGTACCGATGGTTGATGTTTATTTTTTACTTCTTATCAATCAATGAAGTTTAAATTGTCTTTATAATCCATAAGTAAAATCATCAATTTATTATTTATATCAAAAATAAATCACTACTGTATGAACCTATAGTTCTCAGAAAATAAAAATCCAAAGCCCAAGCCCAAGCTAATCAGCAATTAAAAAAAAATTTGTGACCAATACAAAAAAAATAAGATATCAATTGCACCAACAAAAAATGTTCAAAACTCATATTTTTATGTGTGTTGATTATACATAATTTATACACAATACGAACTCAATATGAAACGATTCGTTAAACACGAATTAATAAACGAATTAGATATGATTGAAATAATTTTTACGTTTAATTACTTTTTAATAATTTTGACTAAAAATAACTTACCTGACGTTTAAAAATTTTATACATTATCTCATAATCCAAGTTATCGGAGCATGTGCTTTCCAACCCAATGTAGTACAATAACGTTGGGCTAGCCAACCCAATAGTAAGGATTGGACCTTGATCCCATTTTCATTACAACAATGCTATTATGATCTAATTTATTGATCTAATTTGTTGACCTAATTTACTATGACATTTGGATTGGCNTACATTATCTCATAATCCAAGTTATCGGAGCATGTGCTTTCCAACCCAATGTAGTACAATAACGTTGGGCTAGCCAACCCAATAGTAAGGATTGGACCTTGATCCCATTTTCATTACAACAATGCTATTATGATCTAATTTGTTGACCTAATTTACTATGACATTTGGATTGACTCTAAGGCCATCAAACATTAAAACTCGGTGTTAATTCAATAATTTTGTTGAAACCACATCATTATGTCAGTAAATTGTATCAGATTTTTATGTTCAAATAAGATTACTCTTTTCGTTGTCCACCCCCAAAAATAGTAGTAAATATTTAATGCAACTGTAATACCATGTCACCATTAATAATATGATATTANCCATCAAACATTAAAACTCGGTGTTAATTCAATAATTTTGTTGAAACCACATCATTATGTCAGTAAATTGTATCAGATTTTTATGTTCAAATAAGATTACTCTTTTCGTTGTCCACCCCCAAAAATAGTATTAAATATTTAATGCAACTGTAATACCATGTCACCATTGATAATATGATATAACGAACCAATAATAAAACTCTCAAATGAGCAAGGTGAACTCCACTTAAACATACATGGAAGAAAATTTTGGAGTTATTTGCTGACATGACAAATTAGTTATTAATTTTTGTATGATCTATTTGTTTATTTACTTTAATATTATTAATTGGTGATACCACATCATCTTATCATGTGCTATCACTGTTGTAATGAATATTTTCTCCAAAAATAGTTGTAGTGGCAAGCGAAAAAAATGGTACAGTCACCCTCATAATTATTTCTTGATGATTAATGTTAAACCAGTAAAAAAAAAAAAATGGGATGGGGATAAAATAGTGTAATTGTGAGGNAATAGTTGTAGTGGCAAGCGAAAAAAATGGTACAGTCACCCTCATAATTATTTCTTGATGATTAATGTTAAACCAGTAAAAAAAAAAAATGGGATGAGGATAAAATAGTGTAATTGTGACGAGCATTTATAAATTATGAATAGATTTTTCATAGATGTATTTATAGAATGTATATATAATTATATTGTCATATTTATATTCTTTTACACAATTTTTACAACATGGAGTGGGAATATTTTTTTTTAACAAGAAACCATGCAAATGATAAAAAAAAGTTCATAGAAAAATGAATTATGGGGTGATTTCTTCATTCCAAATTATAAATTATTTACATAACAAATTTTTGAGGAATAATTTGATTGGCCCCACCATGTACCATTGTACCTGCTCATTGGCAAATTACATATCAAGGTATATTTTTCATGTCACTTAAAACTTGATTAATTACAATACTTGAATGTTGATTCATGTTTCATTGTGTTTCGAGACAAGATTGCTTTGTATTACAGTTTGGTTTGATGTTTTTGAAATAATAGATGTTTGAAACTTTCCGGTGAAGGATGACTTGTGTATTGAATGAAACATGATAGAATAAGATTGCATTTTGTAGAATGATCATTGCCGTAAAGTGGGGGACATGCTTCCTTCTTAAAGCGTAACAAAAACGTTTACGGACACAATTGACGCTCTTCAGGCCTGCAAATACGGGTATTGGGTTGCCTTTGACGCTCTTCAGGCCTGCAAATACGGGTATTGGGTTGCCTTTCTTTGAGATAAATTTGAAGCTTAACATTTTATTAGTATATGGGAAAAGTAACTCCACAAACTTTTTGAGGTTTAGCATAGATCTAGACATTGAGATTGGACTTGTAATGACCATGGAGCTCATGGAGACCAAGTCAAAAAACAGTTTAAATGAGGGGACACCATTTCTTTTCCAAAATAACCAATGCAACTGGATTTCTAAAACTCTATCATCCTGAAATTCTTGTCTAAGCAATGCGAAGAGGGTAGGGAAAGAGAGGAGAGATGGATATATACAGCTCCGAGGGGCTGTCGTGGGCTGATCAATGGGATCCTGAGCCTCTGCCACCCTTCTCATCTGAAAATGACGAGAAGAAAAAGAAAGATGGATCTAGCAAGAGCAAGTCTGCAAAGAAGATTTTGAGCTTCAAATGGGTGAAAAATCTTCGCAAGAAATCTCAGAAATAGTCTGAATTATGTTATTCAGAAGCTTCTTGGAGATTTAGAATTTAAATTGTTCTCCCGATTGGTGCTTTATCTATAAAAACTTTTATAGCTCTGTAGTATTACTTGGTGTTTCAATGTTAATATCTCATACTTGGTTCATTCTGTCGTGTTAATGCGTAGATGTCATCTAGACTGTCTTTTAACTTCAATCTGGTTAACAAGGCAAGCTATTTCGTGAGATATCTCCTAGAATTTGGTTGAGTNTTACTTGGTGTTTCAATGTTAATATCTCATACTTGGTTCATTCTGTCGTGTTAATGTGTAGATGTCATCTAGACTGTCTTTTAACTTCAATCTGGTTAACAAGGCAAGCTATTTAGTGAGATATCTCCTAGAATTTGGTTGAGTAGATGTTGCAGAATGTTGTATTGGGCGAAAATCTATCAGTTTTGAATCTTTACATTGTCACTGTTTTTGGTAATGTTGTTCTGGTTTCTATTATCTGTATATGTAGTTGTTTAAATGGAAATGTTTTTCTCAAAGAACGTAGTTTGGGCAAAACACGACGTTTCTTTCTCATGATGGCCTCATCTATGATGAATAAAGACACCATTCTCAGCAGTTGTTCAGTTGATTGCAAATTGGTCATGATCTGAAGTAAATATGATTGCAACTGTGCTTCTGAATCATCCTCGATACATGATATCATCATCAATTTATGAATCCCCATGCAGGTATAGTGAAGCCGTGAATTGTTATCTGACATAGTAACATCCTTAGTCGAAGTTCAATCTGATGCCACAACTCAACCNCAGCAGTTGTTCAGTTGATTGCAAATTGGTCATGATCTGAAGTAAATATGATTGCACCTGTGCTTCTGAATCATCCTCGATACATGATATCATCATCAATTTATAAATCCCCATGCGGGTATAGTGAAGCCGTGAATTGTTATCTGACATAATAACATCCTTAGCCGAAGTTCAATCTGATGCCACAACTCAAACTTTAGCTTAACAGATCCATATGCATCCAGCATAAATGCATCCCAAGACTTCCCTCAAATTTTCTATTCCAAATCATTGTAGATGATTGAACTAACGAGTCCCATCAATTATTAGAAAAAAATTAAAACGATTCACTGATCGAACCATTCTTGTTGATTTGAGATAAACAAAATGGGAAGTGTTGCAGTGTTGGGCGAGAGAGAATCAATCACTCAATTGTGGTAGACACAGCACGTTTTCCTCTAACTAAGAAAAATGCTAATTTGTGCGAAAAATATTTAGATAGATATTTCAGAGATACCACACAGTACCTACATAGATTTCTACATGATGTTTTAAAATAATAGTATTTCCTTGTATCAAAATCCAACATGTAATCAATCAGCTTTCGAACACAGCACCTCAGGAAAATATAATTATCATTGTAAAACCATTCCATAGTTAACTTGATAATTAAAAAGCATTGTTCCCAGAAAGGCACAAAGCAAGAGCTTAGATTCAACCAAAGGATTTTTCATATAATACAACCAAAAAATTAAAACATAGGAGATGGAATCTTTCATATATATGATAATGGTAGCCACATCTGAAACTCAAAATAACATTAAACGAGGGAGAAAAAAGGCAAACACATACAAACATCCCTCGTAACGATAAATATAACAATTTAAGTTATTATCGATTCTACAATTTCTTAATACAAAGGCCCATGGATTCGGGAACACAAGAAAACTATAAAAACGAAAGATGCCTATATACGTCCCTAGATTGATACAGGCAAGCTCTTGTAAAGTAATGGGTCCATCCAGTATCCTTGTCACAACAGGACACCAATGCTAAACAGGATACCCTTCTCCAAACAATCTCCCCGCTTTACATCTACCAAGTAAATGACTGTTTTGCAATTGGCATAATCTTACAAACATATCAATACATATGAAACAATATGACTCCTCGTACATGAGCCATCTTTCCTCTTTAACCTCCACAACAGGATACCACTTGCTCAATGTCCTAAAGGTCACTTAAAAACTATGTATCAAGCTTAGGCAACCGAGTTACCATCAGCATCAGCAGCCACTGCACCATGCAGAAAGCATTGTACACACACGTCCCACTGTACAATTTCCTCAAGCAACCCAATTATAAATAAATCGCGCTTCAGTGCCAGAATAGAAGCCATAAACCACAGTGGCAAACTGGAAGTGCTGTACGAGTCACAAATCTCACTTCCCAATCAAAAGCAAAAGAATCATCACTGAATTGGAATCTCAGCATACAACACAAACCTCCTGATTCTTCAATTTTCCCTGTATTTTCACCCTTTACCCTTGAGTTGATTTTTTTTTTTCAATNTCACAAATCTCACTTCCCAATCAAAAGCAAAAGAATCATCACTGAATTGGAATCTCGGCATACAACACAAACCTCCTGATTCCTCAATTTTCCCTGTATTTTCACCCTTTACCGTTGAGTTGATTTTTTTTTTTCAATTTTTTTTTTTTTTGAGGTCCATTTTTTGAATCTTTGTCCACTGGCTTTTCTGCATAACACCATAAAGTCAGGCTCAGCTGATTCTCAAAGCAGCCCATCCAAGTCAAAGTTCATCAAAGGATCAATGCAACCTAGAAAATACAGAAGGCACCAATAAGATGGAGACCAGAGCCACAACCATGTATTACTGCTTCATACTTTTTTTTTTCCAGATACCGAAACAGAAAAAAAACCATGGAATGACTCATCCATAACACAGATCGGACAGAAGCAATATCACCCCTAGCCATGCAGACAAAAATTATAATTTAGCTCGTGGTGAACGGCATTCTTAGTGGAATGAACCTTCCCATCTTGTTTCTCTTGGCACTTGAGCAGCTGCTTCAAACATTCTGAGCAAAGCAATTCCAGACAAAAGGTTTCTTCATACTCAGTATTATTAATGCACCGACCACACTCAAAACACCGAGGTATGCACAGCCTGCATGCCCTGCATACTTGATCAGCATGATCTTTTGCTTGACAACCCTCAGCTGGACAATCATAGAGTAGCCTCAAGTTCTGGCATCTTGGGCATATTTCAATATCAATAGCACGATCATCATCACACGACACATAATAGTTTCCCCGATGATAGAAATGTGGTTTGTGACCATTTTGCTGCATGTGGCAATCTGCACCCAGTAAGAACTTCAACTCTTCGAAGTGCTCATGCGTAACGCCATAAAGCCCTCCAATTCTTAAGTGTTTTATTCCAGGGGTAGCTTTATTAGACTGAAATGCCTTCACACAATTCACAATACCCTCAATATTGAGTCTTGTACATCCAGGAACACAAAGCTGCATGAAATAAAGAAATAGACAATTCATCAAATCTTGAAACAACATGACAAAGAAAATAGTGTCTCAAAAGAATACACATCTCAGGAATAAACACAAGAGGAGATGTATTTAAGAAGGAGAAAAAGGAAGCATCAATCAAACACTAGTCTTCCAGAGAAAAAATATGTCCCATGGGTGTGGCTTCAGCAATAACTTAAACTATTATTAAGTCCACTCGTTGCCATAAAAAAAGACCTCAAAAGCAAAGCTGGTTAACAATTCCAACAAATAACACACTCACCTATATAACATCACAACCCTAATGTCAGCCTTCATTTTCTTCAAGCACTTCATAAAATGTCTAAAATACCAAAATCGTTCAGTGTCGGTTTAAGATCCTGGCATGCCAATATTCTTGGTGGTTGAACCAAATGCCTCCGCATCTATCTGTTTCTTAGAGAGGAAACTCTGAAATATTTATTCCCGAGACCGGGTGATTTTAACATACTCCTTCATTCATCAGCATTACACAAATAACACTTTTTAAAAATTTCATAGGGCAATTTAATACAAACAAACCTGAGATAAACCTAAATTGCTTAAGTTTGGCACCGATGGTACAAGACATATATATGTACATATTCATATTCCTACACAAACATTGCGTGATAAGTTAATTTAGCAAAAAATTAATTTGTGTAACACCAACTGGTGCACAAAAGCAATTATTTTGCAGCCTTCTCAGAGAAATTGCACAAGCACTTATGGTTTCACCACTATTATATCTCAAAACTAAGTAAATCAACTCTGAAATTAATCCAACATTCAAGCACACAACAATGAACATCGTAGATACAGACACAAAAATCATAGAAACTATGTTATTTCAAATAACTTTGTAAGAATTCAAGGCTTCAAATAAGCTAGATTTAAGTTTATAACAGTCATCAAACCCCCCCCCCCAAAAAAAAAAAAAATAAATAAATAAATAACATGTATGCATATGCAGTAGTAAATGATTATATGCAAATACTTCAAGAAATCAAGAACACCACAAACCAAACTTGAATATGCTAATGATAACTACATACCTATGATGCATAGTATACATTACAAACTGGCACAACTGATAGTCAATATTCATGAAAATTAATGTTACTGACCTTGGTTAATCTTGAGTTAGTCTCAATCACCTGCTTTAGACCATCATCAGTGATCCATGGGCATTCCACCAAACTCAAGCATTGCAGGCTACCTTGGGCCCTGCTACTTAGTTGAAGAAGAACATCATCAGTAATCTTCTCATTCAATGGTTGGCCTATGTGGATGCTCCTCCACAAAAGGGGATCACTTCGGACTGTAGAACGCAGAGATCTGCAAACCATCCCCACAGAAAGAAGATCCCCAACTTCCAGATAACTAAGAGCGAAAACCAGAGCTTCATGAGGAACTCCTACATCTTTATCAGAACAGCAACCCTCACTGTTATGGCAACATTCATCAAGTTGGCCAAGAGCACTAGTACTTCCACTCCCAAAGCCCACAATGTCCTCCGAACCGTGGAGTGACTCAGAACCACTTCGGATCAACACATCCCCAAAATCTCTCTCCGCAACACNCAGAATCAAGTCAAGATGATATAACTAAAAAAATAAAATATGATACAAAAAAATAATTTTTCATTTCATAATAATAAATAATTGATTAAAAATATTGAACCCAGGTCTTACATCAGTTTATCCTCAATNACATCGATCCATCCAAGGAAATGTATTAGATTTCTCATCAAATCGAGTGTTACAGGGAAATGGTTGGAACCTGATAGCATTGTTCCAAATCAAATTCAAACCCGCACACAAGCCNGAAATGTATTAGATTTCTCATCAAATCGAGTGTTACAGGAAAATGGTTGGAACCTCATAGCATTGTTCCAAATCAAATTCAAACCCGCAAACAAGTCATAATCATCTTTTCTCCCACCAGCATTGCTCCTCCCATACCCTCCATAGTCCACTTCCAAATCCTCAAGCCAGCCCGTAATAGCTGTAAAAGTAGTACTTATATCCATTCCAAATGGATCTGAAGGAAGTAGATCGATAACGTCTTTTTTTACAGAGTCCGGTGAGCTGGACCTATCAACCCGCTCTCTCCCATGATCAAAGCATTCATCAACTTCTCGATTTATGTACCGGGACCTACCAATACCCTCCCCACTTCTCTCTGAAATTCCTTCCACAAGACACCCATTAACAACCCTCAGTGGCGAAACCAAATTGTCTTCAGACATATGGGCCGGAAAGATTGGTCGGTGAGAAAAATTCAAGGCCATTTCAAATATTTCTCAAGCCAACCCTAGATTTCGTGTCTATACTTGAATAGAATAAAATTTTAAAAAAAAAAACGATTTTTTGTCTTTTTGTCTTTTCTAGTTTTTTTTTTTGTGTATATATACTAAGCTACGACCCCAAATAGTTGGGATTGAAGCTTTGTTGAGTTGAGTTGTATATAATATGCTACGAACTGTAGAAAGATCCAACAAGAAAACCCTCGATTTTGGATGGCAAACTAAAACAACGCACCAAAAACTTCACGGAGTTTCTTGTAAAGAACTTAAAATCAGCTAAAAAATAATCAATCAATCAATACATCATATAAACAAGGATTCAGCGGCAATAGAATACGAATCAATGAATTCTTTAAACCTAATCAAATAGACTAGGGTTTGCAAATAATCAGAACAAAATAATCGAGGAATAATACAATAAAAAAACCTGACTAAACGATAATCAGACGGGTTGATGAGCCAAAAAAACCCTAATTTGCTCGTACGAACGCAATCGACAGAAATAAAAAATGCTTCAGATATCGAATCCGTGTAACATAAGTACCTAGATTTGGATTTCTTTGAACGGACGAGAATCGAGTTTCCTCGATGGATCGAATTCGATCCGAAGAGAGATAAAATCTGTCTGCCGATCGAGTTCCAGAGAGAGAGAGATAGGGGAAATAAGAGGACAATAGACACGAAATCTACAGAGAGAGAGGAGGAAATGGAAAAGAATAGGAGGGAATGGGAAAATTGGGAATTGAGTCCAATTTAGGAGAGAGAAACGGTGAGAATGGAAACTGACACGTGTCGGGTCGCAAAAGTGTTACCTGTTTCTTCGGTATCAGATGTGGCGGGAGTGGAAACCCTTTATTTTAGCGCCGCTAGTTTCTCGCTCTTGGTCATTGGATTTACTGGTTGCTTTTGACCTCATTGTGATAGCCAAGCTTTTGTTTTTTATCATACCAAAAAAATAATTAAAAAAATTTATAAATTTACTACGAATTTCTAAATTTACACTATTATAAATATAAAAATAATTAAAAAAATTTACTACGAATTTGAGTCATTACACATAGTTTAATAAAATTGCATAATTTTTTCAATTTAAATCAAACAAGTTTTACATAAAGAATATTTCACTCAATATGTTCTGTTTGATATGAATAGGAAAAGAATCTATCGGTATTTAAATATCAAAATATAGAGGAAGCAGAATCAAGTCAAGATGATATAACTAAAAAAATAAAATATGATACAAAAAAATAAATTTTCATTTCATAATAATAAATAATTGATTAAAAATATTGAACCCAGGTCTTACATCAGTTTATCCTCAGTTCTTATATCATTGGATTAGTTATAATTTTTAATATTAAATGAAATTTACTCTCAATCCAATAATTCTATTAAATTAAGTCATTAGATTAAATCTTTAAATTACATCCAAATAATATTTTCCAAAAGATGTTTAGCATGATTAAATTCATTACTCGTATGAATAATGTCAACTAGTCACCTAAACTTAACTTGTGATAGTTACTCATTCTTTTTTTTTTTTT